GAACATCTTCGTTGCCTGTCAGAGGGCGGTACTGCTGCAGACCTGCCACACCACCAGAAAATTCCTCAGTGGAAACTGGTAAAGGGACTACGATGAATTTTGTTTCTCTTTAGCGAAACTTCACCCTGGCAGCGCCAGAGAATGACTACTTGTTCATTTCTAACATAATAATAATAATAGGCTGGTCTTCGAGTCTGAAGACTAATTAGGAATTCAGTATTTCCCGTGGCTACGCAGCCCCAGCTGTGACCCTACATATCTGCCACATCCAGTGCAGGCATAACCATTGTCCGCCGGTGGACGATTAGATTTTCTTGAAGTAACAAAAAACTGATCAACTAAAAACTACGTGGCTAGCTAACAAGGCAACTAATGCGGCCATGTCCATTTGACCGTTTGAAATATCACTAAGAAGAAGAAACGCCACTGGAACGAAAACACGTTGTCACGTTCTATTTGAGACGTGATAATGAGCTCTTTTACGTGTATGCCTCTGACGTGTAGTGGTGTGCTTAGATCATCTTACATATGTTTACCATAAGCGTAGCCAGGATTATTTTTTTTGGGGGGGGGGGGGGGCGTTTGGGGGGACTTTTTCTCCCCCCCCCCAAAAAAAAATCTGTCACTGGCAATGTCTGAAGCCTTTCCCACCTTCTCTGAGGACCTCCATGAAAGTGTGGCGCGAAGTTGTACTAGGATGTCATCGCAACTCTTATTAAGCATAATTCATTTTGTCGGAGGACATGTAACGCAAATCTCATTCGACGCTCTGTCGCAACCTTACTAACGGTAAGACTCCAAGTTCGGCATAGGATTTCCTTGATTTAGACCAGATCTCTATAACTGACTCCTAAAATCCGTCTTAGCCATCTTTGCTGAGCCACATTTAGTGTTTTTCAATTTCGGCAGATGACTATTTATTGCACTTTATTAATGGAGCCCAGTCACTGGTAGAAATGTGTAACCTCTCTTGACTACGCTCTTATGAATCAGGTGACTGTAGTTTGCTATAGATTTTTTGTCGAAAAAGGAAGTTTTATCGTCAAAGTCATTTGTTGGGGGTTTTTAAACTAAAATATGTCTGGAGTTGTTTTTTTTTTTTAATTTTTTATTCATAACCCTATTTAGTTACGGTCATAGATTTTGGTGACTGTAGTTTGGTTTAGAAATAATTTTAAACACATTTTTTCAACCTTAAAACGCTCTGTAGGGGGATTTTAAACTCAGAACCATCTGGAAGGCTTTTAGACTTTTAAAAAAGCCATTTTGAGGAGGGGGGGGGGCTTAAATAATTTTATGGTGTAATTTGCTTTTTTTTTTACATTGAAGAGGTATTTTTTAGCTTCAAATCCCTCTAAAGGGAAATTTAAACTTAAATCCCCCAATTTGCTTGACTACGCTCATAGCATTTTGAGTGCGTAATTTTCTTTTTTTATATCGAAGAGGTATTTTTTAGCTTCAAACTCCGCTGAAGGGGGTTTAAACTTAAAACCCATTTAGCTACGCTAATATAATTTTGAGTGCGTAATATGTTTTTTTTTTTTTATATTGATGAGGTATGTTTTAGCTTCAAACCCAACTGAAGCTCATAGAATTTTTTGAGTATGTAATTAGCTTTTTTTATATTGAAGAGGGGGTTTATCGTAAATTTTGGAGAAGGATTTAAAAATCAAAATCTTCCTTAGATGTGCACTTGGAATATAGGAATTGTTGTTTGCATTTTTTGTGTTTTGTTTTATAGAGGAGGGGAATTTAAATGCAAAACCCCCTGGTAGGGTACGTGTGCTTAAATTTTGACAGACAGACAGTTTTGATGTTAGCTTTGTAAAAAGGAGATATTCTAAGGAGAAGAACACCACAATTACAGCCTTAAATGCCTGAGATAGCCAGAAAAACCAGTGACTTGGCAGAATTTAAGTCATTGGTTAATATGCATGACTAAATGCATGACGCGTAGGACGTAATCATCTTCTTTTTTGAAGTAACGTCTGTATTATATAAGATAAGAAGATAAGATAAATGTATATTAAATGTATATATTGTTTAAAACTATTCTCCCATTGACTTCTGTGCCACTGTGGACTGCATTTAGTTTAAATTACCACTTTAAAAATACTTTCCGCAGGTTGGAGGTAATACAGTGTTACTATATTTCACAACTGTAAGATGATAATCCCTTTTTCGATATCAACAAAATTAATTATTTACAAATATTTAATAAATTATTTTATGTTTTGCTATGAACAATGAAAAATTGCGCAGAATCTCAAAATTTCTTTAGAATATGGCAAGTGTGAGGAATAACGTGTTTGAAATTCGTACCAGATAACAGACAAACGGGCAGACAGACGATGTAAAAATTTTTTATAAGTTTATAACTCGTCCACACGTTTCTCGTTTGCCCATTAAAATTTTAAATAACCTAGTCAGTATTTATGAAATCAGTATTTATTGAATCAGTATCTATTAAATCAGTATCTATTGAATCAGTATTTATTGAATCAGTATTTATTAAACTCAATATCTATTGAATCAATATTCATTTACTCGGTATCTATTGAATCAATATTCATTTACTCAGTATCTATTGAATCAATATTCATTTACTTAGTATCTATTGAATCAATAATTATTAAATCAGTAATTATTAAATCCGTATTTATTAAATCAGTAATTATTAAATCAGTTTTTATTAAATCCGTATTTATTAAATCAGTATTTATTAAATCCGTATTTATTAAATCAGTATTTATTAAATCAGTAATTTTTAAATCAGTTAATTATTAAATAAAACTTCGACAGACCACCTCTTGATTTCCTTAAAACCTTTCATTACACACAACCAAACTATCGGCTCCTCACTCAACATCACTACATCGGATACTCTAGCTCAGGGGTTCTCAACTTGTGGATTGCGACTCCCTTGTGGGTCGATTGACGATTTGCCAGGGGTCGCCCAAGACCATCGAAAATATGGATTTTTTTTTGTCTATTCCTCTATTGCTGTATATGTGTTTTTTTGACATCCTACTTCCACTCCAGCCCAACATAACCAACACCCTGTACGCAGTGCTGAACAACTGAAGAAAACAGCACACTATTTTTCCTTGGCACAGTCTGCAAAAGATCTCACAGCTCAGCAGCAATAAAGCTGGCTAGAAGAAGAAGAAGAAGACAATCGTCGATCATAATCTTTCATAGCTTCCTTTTTTAAAAAAAAAAAAATAATAAAATTAAAATTTATAAAAAAAACAAAAACAAACTAAAATAAATATAAAGTAATACACTGAACTTACACATTTAAATATTTTTGGACTTTTAAAATTATTAATTAATTATTTAAAAACGTCTAGACGTACACAAACATCTACTTGTTGAAAGTTGATTCATTTTATGACTTGATGGAAACACCATTAACCATTTAAGAAAGGAGGAAGGCTTTTCTAATCGTACTTTATTACCTTCAGTAAGAGGCAAGATGGCCTATAAAAGAGGCACAAGGATTCCTATGATGATAAAGCTAAAATTGAATAGAGCAAATTCTGAGGTTTCCTTTGAAAAAAAAAAAAAGTTAAGCTAACTAAACAACAATGACTCTTATAAGACTCCTGCATATCCCGATACTACAGGACGACACTCCTTTACCTCAAGATTACACATGGAAACAAATTGTTTTCAAGAGATGAAAAATGTATGTGCCAATCTTAGATTTTGTTACTATTGCTAGAGTGCAGCACTGCACTCCAAGCGATAATACGAAAAACTGCTCGTTAATTCTTGTTTTAAGTTAGGTTCTCTTTTTTGGTGTATATTAAATCCTTGAATAGTTCATGTCGTTGCTTACAAATGTTTGTTTGTTTGTAAAATGTTTGTTCGTTTGTAAAATGTTTGTTTGTTTGAAAAATGTTTGTTTGTTTGTAAAATGTTTGTTCGTTTGTAAAATGTTTGTTCGTTTGTAAAACCGTAAACCGCTCGACCAGGCAGCCATCCTTAACAATTACAATTATCATGATTGCTTTTATTAAATTTGTATTTCTGTTCTTGACTAATCCCTGGCGTCTTGTTGAATTGAATTATTGAAAGAAGTACGTTAATGTGTCCAAGTCAAAGCCATGTCAGGAGTTCACAACACTAGGCCTTAACTAAATATATTATGGTAACTTTAATTATACGTAAATGAAAACAAATTGTTATTGAATTGCAAGCCTATAATAAAGAGTACATGGTTGGACATGAACTACAGATTAGCATATTCAAGTTAAGTTCAATTACAGCTTATCCTTTTAACAATACTTCAGTGGAAGTACTACATGCTAATTTGCTCGCTAGGAGAAGTTAACTAATTTGAAGGTGTAAAAAAAAATGGCTGAAATTTGGCTACTCAGAATTCAGAGGGGTGCACCTACATGGTCAGCCTTATATATTCATGATAAGCCTAGGCTAGTCTACTACAACTGTACTTCAGTCACCAGTGGAAGCACTACTTGTTCAGTTGCTACTAATTTTTAATTAATCTGATGGTGCAAAAAAAAATGTTTACAATTTTTCTGCTCAGAATCCACGGGGGTGTAAATGCACCTTGCATCCCCCTGCGGGCACCCATTGCATGTAATACATTCTTGATTTTTATTTCAAATAACGAAAGTTTGTTTAGAAGTCTTACATGTTTTATTCATTTTGTCAAAACCTCTTCTATATCTAACTTACCTATACATACAATATTGGCCTCCTTCAGTCCTACACTCCACATAATCTGCAGCAGAGTAAACTTCCTCATGTGGCTGTAGAACCCTAATTTGGAGAGACACTCTCGTCCAAAGATAGCGCAGGTTAAGGTACAACAACACCAATGTAATATGTAAAGCGCCATGATAATAATAATAATTTTATTTATACAGCGCTTTTAACAAACAAAATGTAGGCTCAAGGCGCTGTAATAACATTACAAACACATCAACGACAACATGCAAGAACTAATCTAAAAAAGTTTTAAACAAGTAGGTCTTAATGTTCTTCATAAAAATAAATTGTTCATAATCGTATAGATTTAGACCTGTATTTTAATTGTATTTAATTAGAAACTCATTACACAAATGAAATCACTTAAACGTAACTCTCAAAATTTCTCCTGCTCTGTTCCTGGCCAACTAAGTTATTTTTTTGGATTAACACGCTCCATGGCCAACTAAGCTATTCTATTTTTGAATCAACACGTTCCATGGCCAGCCTGCGTAATCTTGGCAGAGTCGGGCTTCCCGCAATTGGCTAAAGACAACTCGCAGCTGTTTCCGTACGTTTTTCCATCCGATCCGCAGACTGGGTCGTAGAGCGCAATGCAGGCAAACTCACATAAAAGTGGTAGACCTGGTGGTTTAGAGGTAAAGATTTAAAAGTAAAGAATTATTTTATTTAAAAATCTTAAAGAAAAACAAAAAAACAAAAAAACACCAACATTGAAATTACCTTTACTGTCATTGTCAGTATAAAATTCAGAAGCCAAGCGCTATACCGCTCAGCCACCGCGTTGGGTGAGGGAGGGCGTTTATTGGTGAAGGTTTCTGTGCTGCCTTTAGGCGTTCCCCAAACACAGATAATCTCGAGTCGCGATTTGAACTCTAGCCCCCTTGATAGGTAAGCATGTGGTTTAGGCCAACCCTCTCCTCCCCCCATTCGAACAAATTTTCGAAACATAAAATCCAAATCCTCTTAGTGACGTTGTGGCTGAGTGATAAATAGCTTAGCTCCAGAATCCGGAATCCCTAGTTCGAATCCTGGTTTATGCAGTGATTTTTAATTTCGGGATCTTTAGGGCGTCCACACCGCTCTAATAGGAACTTGACATTATTTGGGAAAACGTTAAGGCGACTGGTCGTTGTGCTGACCACATGACACCCTGGATTACAGAAAATAATTTCCTTTACCTCATCTACCCTATATCCATAGATCACTATAGATCGCAAAATCTTTAAATAGAACATTTTGGTTTTAAAACAAGGCAAAAGACAGGGAGGAATGGAGAAAGACGGTCGACGAGTCTTGCTTGGTGCCCCAACGGTCTAACAGACTAAGGGATAGGTAAGGTAAAAATAATAATTAGACCACCTTTACTAATGGATAAATTACACAGTCTTTGAATGCATATTTTATTGTTATATAATTTTCACTTATGCAATTAATGTTCACTGTTCCCTAATACAGTTCCTAGTTTAAAGGAACTTACCTGAACTAAAGTGAACAAAGAACAGAAAAACAGCTAAGGTGACAATGGCGCCAAAAAGCCTCATTTTTCTTTTTGGGTTGTTTCCCGTTTGGCAGACGACACAAACTGATTTTAAAACAATGTCAGGAATATGTTAATTGTGTGTGTGTGTGTGTGTGTGTGTAGAGATCTTCGTGATGTACCTGTGTCGTTAAAAGAAGATCAAGAATCAGATAAGGTCAATGCAAGGCAATTTGGAGTTTAGAATTCGGGACTCTTGAAGCATGAATCTTCTTTTTTAACTGATAAAAAATTAGGTTAAGAATTAAATTAAAAATAACAGCAGTCTCTCCGTTTCGTTTACTGGAATTTTTTGTCTTTTTAACCAGTATTAAAGTATTAGAGTTCTCAATCAACTTTTGTTTTGAGGAATAAATCTATTTCTAATTAATAAAAGACGATTAATTTATTGTATATATAAAAAGTAAAGTTCCCCTTTCAGACCTTGTGGTCTATTGGGCAGATGATGTAAAGGTCATCCGTTTCTGTGGCCTACGGTCAATGAGGGTTCCATGTGGCCAGCACAACGACAAACCACCTTTACTTATTCCCAACTAATTTTACGTACCCATTAGAGCGGGGTGGACTCAAAGGCGCGATAAGATCCCGAAATTTAAAAACTCAGTTTTCATCAGGATTCAAACACGAGACTCCCAATTCACAAGCCAAGCGATTTACCGCTCAGCCACCGCGCCTCCATTTTTTTAAACATAATACATGTTCATAATGGTGAAAACTAACTCATTAACAATAATAAGTTGATTTTTTTATTTTTTCACTTCTCTATTCTCTAGGCTCTAGTGAATATCTAGGCTCTAGCGAACATCTAGGCTCTAAGGAACATCTAGGCTCTAGGGAACATCTAGGTTCTAGGAAACATATAGGCTCTAGGGAACATCTAGGAACTAGGGAAAATCTAGGCTCTAAGGAACATCTAGGCTCTAGGGAACATCTTGGCTCTAGGGAACATCTAGTTCTCTTTTGGTGGAGGGAAATAATTAGCATTTAACATCTGATGACATTAAGACATTACGCAACATCTACGTCAAAGGCTCTGCACCTTGCTAGATCAGGCACTTGCTTTGCGTAGTGTTTCACAGTGAGCTGTAAACTAAGCCTACTTGTTATGGTGTGTGTGTGTGTGTGTTTCTATTGTGACTTTGGAAAGTGGTCAGTGATTGGTTGTGAATGATGCAACATAGGTGGCATTGGCGTCATTTGGTCTTAGTTAGGGCGGACTGAAAGGCTGTGTTATTGTAATGAGTTATACTTTTTAAGAAATATTATTACTAAAGTTTACTACAGTTCTTTGATCTCATATTGGGTTGATTTTGTCTATTTATAAATAAAGTGTTATTTAGTTTTTCACAAAATGAAGCGAGTCAAGTAATTTGAAGTTTTATTAGTTAAGATGCATTACGCCTACAGCAGTTTAGTTGTCTACCAGCAGTTTGGTGCTACAAGTCAACGACCGGTAACAACAGTACCATAGGAGATTAAATTGCCGATGGCCTACGATTTGTCGACTAGACACATCTCATTATTTATTTATGATTTTATAGATAGATAGCTAGATAGATAGATAGATAGATAAATAGATGACTTCTTTCAGTCGCGAAGATATACAATCCCTAAAAGATCGTTTCTCGAGTTTAATTGTCACTCTATATTAGCATGTAAAATAATAATTTGTTTGATAGATTTGTACATATTTTAATTTTTTTTAATTATGAATCTTATTGTAAAGTAAAGCAGCATAATTCCCCTTTCACACCTTGCGATCCAAGGGACAGATGATGTAAAGCTCATCTTTCTAGAGGGTGTCATGTCGCTACCACAATGACCACCAGCCTTTACTTTTCTCCAACTAATATCAGGTACCAATTAGTGGTTGGGTAAATCCAGAGGCGCCTTAAGGATCCTGAAAAAAAAAATCCGAGTCTTCACCAGGATTCGAGTCCGGGACCCCTCGGAAGCCAAGATTTTTACCACTCGGCCACCGCACCTCCATCTAGAGTCTCTCTATTCCATTGAAGCCAACTCTATGGCTGCGTCTTTCCACGCTGTGACTTTTGAATCAAGGAAATAGTTACAAAATAAATCTCACACACAAACGAAATAACTGCGAATCAAAAACTAAAACGGATTGTTATGTTATTAAATTTAATGACTAATTCATGACTAATATCTAATGAAAGAGTGAAGCCCTTCTCTAAAGCTCATGGTACACAGCCTACAGGAGTATTGCCCCGCCATTTCCAGAGCAGGTCCCGTGACTGACTAACTTGATGGTGCCTCCTGCGTGGCAAGAAGCGGCATTCAAGAAACAAGTGTTACTGTAGGTCTTGCCGTCTGATCCACAGACAGGGGAGTATAACTCTATACAAAAGTCAGCGCACGCTGCCTGGGCTAAAATACATAACAAGAAAAATATTTTTTAAAATACTTAAAAAAAACAATAAAGATTATACGAACTCAAATCGTACTAGTTAGTTTGGATCAGTCATATAATTAAATTTGTAGTAGAACTAGACCAACAGCAATACACCTGTACGATTGGAAATAGTTTTACCACTTATTTTTTGTTTGGCGCTATAAGTCGCTATTTCGTGCTTTTAGCTTTCTCAAATATTATGATCATATCACCTATCTGGACCAGTTGAAAAAATGGGGGAGAGGAAGACAAAAAGGGATTTCTAATTTAATTGTAATCGCTTTTAAAAGCATTCGTTGCTCAAGCCTCCTCAAGCCGCCAGCTTAACCATTCTGCTAGTGAGGTGCATATGAAAATTGAAGATAGTATAGTTATCTATTATTTGTTTCAAACTTACCTAAAGGGGACTAATTCAGTTTATACCAGCACTTCACTCAAGTACAATTTCTTATTATTTCGATATGCCAAACAAAATAATTAATTACCAATAGCTAATTTACATTTTGGCTATTTTTTTTAAATTCATTCTTGTGTTTTCAGTTCAAGGTAATAAGTGTGCAAAGTTTTAACTTGATCCGAGATCATTTAATTTCTAACAATGTATATATTCTTTTTATCTTATAAAATACAGAGGTTACTTAAAAAAAAATAAATGTCAACATTCTAAGCATGTCTCTCGAACAATATAGTCAGTTATGTAAGTCGATGACTTGAATTCTTTACCACTTTTTAAACGAGATTATCCCCTTTGAATAGTTTTGTGATTCTGAATGCACAACGGATATACTTCAATCATGAAGATTACCGGTTTGTACTTTTAAGTTGCGGTCTTTAAATATGACATTTAAAGACCGCATCACAAAATAAGAAACAGGATTACTGCAGCGATTGGACCCCACGATGACCTGCTTACTATCGTAAAAAAACGCAAGCTAAAAATCAATGGAAATATTACAAGGTCTTCGTTGCTCGCAAAGACCCTCCTTCAGGGAACTGTACCGGGAAAAAGGAGAACATTAAAAGAATGGACGGGCCTGCCATTGAAGGAGGTCCTGGCTAGGGCGAAGGACCGAGAGGAATGGAGAAGGACTGTCGAAAAATCTTGCATGGTGCCCCAACGGTCCACAGAGTAAGGGATAGGTGAAGGTAAAAAGTTTAAGTTTAGCAAGCACTAAGTAATACACAATAACTGTATACCACCAAACACTACAGGGCAGACCAAGAATTCGATGGATTAATGATGAGGAGGCAGATCTACATCGGCTTGCAGTTCGGGCTTGGAGACGAAAGGCCCAGGAGAGATTTGAATGGAAGGATGTGTTGAAGCAGGCCAGGGCCCTCCATGGGCTGTAGCGAAACTGGGATGGAAGGATAGAAGTATAAAATAAGCTCCTGGACTAGGGGAAAGCTGACCCTATCAGTCCTTGAGCTGACCACATAACTGATTTTCTATAAACGTTGACTTAAACATCTATCTATCTATCTATCTATCTATCTCTATCTATCTATCTATCTA